CGACGATATTCCGTGAACCATTCGGCGAAACGTTCCACAAAGTAATAGCACACCAATCGGGAACAATCCGCACATTTCGGTATATTACGGTCTATGTAGTGTAAAAACTGTGGGAGGAGTTAGGGTGGTAAATTTGGCTATAATAAGAATAAGAATAATATATATGTGAGATAACATTAAGTGGTCTTGCTATGCAAGACCATTTAACTATAGAAACAAGGAAGCAATTTCATATTTACTAAATGTTATTGTGTTTTCAAGAGGTTTACAAAAAGCATTTTTCGGATAAAAATGCTACACCTATTAAGACAAGGCACAAGGTCTCACTGAGCGTTGAATTAACCCTTTCAGTGCCACAGCAGAGAGCAGACCAGTCTATGTGTATTTATCTATACACATTCCAGGTCAAGTGTTGTAAGAAGAGGGACTTGAGTCTCAGACCTCTGTGTTTGCGTAATTTTAAAGCCAACCAATTGCAATGCTCATTCTGACGAAACAAAACAATAGAATGCTTTTTTTCGGGATAGGTACTACACTGGCATGTAAAGGACCACTATAGTGCCAGGAAAACATACTCATTTTCCTAGCACTATAGTGCCCTGAGGGTGCCCCCACCCTCAGGGTCCCCCTCCCGCCGGGCTGGATAGAGCGAAGGGGTTAAACTTACCTCTTTTTCCAGCGCTGGGTGGGGAGCTCTCCTCCTCCTCTCCTCCTCTTCGGCTTAATGCGCATGCACAGCAGGAGCTGCGTGCGCATTCAGCCAGTCCATAGGAAAGCATTCATAATGCTTTCCTATGGACGCTGGCGTCTTCTCTGAGTGTGAGTGTGTGTGTCTGTGAATATATATACGTATATATATATGTATATATATGTGTGTGTGTGTGTGTGTATATATATATATATATATATATATATATGTATATATATATATACACACACACACGCGCGCGGCGTGTGTTTGTGCTTTAGGGTGCACACCCTAATGCAATAGGCTGCGCACGCCTATGATATATATATAAAAGAAGTGTTTGTCCTGATGAAAGTTCCTAAGTGGAACTGAGACGTTGATAGTTTGACACTTTTTCTAGTAATGAAGTTATATGTGAACTATCTGGGAGTGCTGATTTTTTTGTTCTATATATATATAAAATCTATCTCATAAATCATTACTCGGTATTCCTGTCAATGTGTCCAAAAAAAACCATATGTCCCCTTCTCAGACCTCTACATATAATTTATTTTCTGCTCTGTGTTAGATTAAGTATAATATGTGTCTGCCATTGATGAAGGAAACGTAGAAGCAGTTGAAACGATGAGCATTGATCTCCTCATTTGAATTTGATAGAAGCTTCTGTATGCCAGAGCTCGGACCTTATGCCTTCTGTCTTTGTCTTTCCATAAACGGCTGACAATGTTTGTTTTCCTAAGGGCTTAACCTATGTATTCCAGATGGTGGTTTTTCTCCAGCGCATATGGTATGGTATAGGGCAAGTTTATTCAAGCATGAAGATTTTATTGTTACATGAAACAAATGTTGTGATAGGGTCACTGACACATGTCCACAAACTGACATCCAAAATAATGACACTTACCATAGCAGTTCATCTTCTGCTCACACCGATTGCAACATAATGCCACAGAAACCGCGATGCTATGGACTGATCTAAGATATTTCCTTTGCAATCCATCATTTAATTTGAAATTATGGTTACTAACATTTGACAAGGAGTTTGCCAGGTCAAAACATAGCAAAGACCTTTGAGGCCCTCTGAGAAAGTAAGTAGGTGTCACAAAATATAGCTCCCTAAATATGTTGTTGTGGATACATTGTCTTTAGGGTTGATGGCCTTCTATTGGGAGTCGAATACAAAAGGAGGCAATGGACAGCTGCGTCAACGCTCAGTGATACAAAAATGCTAATAGTCTGACTTGTTTACCATGTTTTCCGCTGCTGTGAACTATTTAATTTATCACATTATACAAAACTGTGGTTTGCCTTGGTTTACCAGTTTGGATAATAACAAAGAGGCATAAGCTGATACTGGTGGTAAAGTAATTGTGAGTTACAACTCCCAGCATGCATAGCCAGTGTAAGCAAACTAATGAATGTGTATTAAATATTGAATACATGCAAATATAGGTATATCTTAGCTTTGTAGATCGACATAGGTGAATTATGTATTTAGAAATACTGGTGCGAAAAATAGCTTTCAAGGTCTTCGTCTTTTATTCCCGTGATACTTACAAAGAACAATCCATGTTGTGATTTCGTTCATACAATGTTTCCTGGCTGAGCATTCCACACGTTATAGTTTTTTAACATATGAATTGCTTGTAAGTGGTTAAGTCTACTAATGCACTAGTGAACAACATATCTGGATACACCAACTCATCCTTGCACCCCAACATTCCTGAAGATCCGGGGTGACTGCTGACTGCATGACTTCCTCCATACGGCATATACATCTGGTTAAGGATGACATAATACATACAGCAATACCACTTCCATTAACTAAAGTTGTTTTGGTGCTTAGAGATTCCCTTTAACTAAAGTTTCCTCTTCATTCATACACGTGCCCATTTCGAGATACTTGGACTTGAATATTTTTTTCAAATTGATTACTTAAGTGAGCTCACGTTCAACTTTGGACAACTGACACTTCAGCGATTAATTCTAAATGTTGAACAGTGTGATCTTCCTTGTTTAAACATGGATATATTATTGAACTCATTGATTCATTGAACGAGCGAGTCGAGTCTAACTTTCAACTTTTTTTGCTGCCAAATATAAAATTACAGAGCGCTTTTAAATAATATTAATAATTCATTATTTTATTGCCAAAAAAAAAAAGAAAAAAAAAGAAACGGTAGATAGCGATTAAAACATTTTAAACGTATACAATGCAGTTTAATTATTTTTCCTTTTGCCAAAAGCAATGCTAATAAAATGACATACATAGCTTAGCACGCAGACAGGCAGAACAGATTAAACCTTTCGCACCCAGGTTTATTTTATAGCTTGGCGGAATTCACCTGTTAGATAAATATGCAACGTAGAACTAATCCTTACGGAAGCATAGATGCCAATACAAATAAACTAATCTCAATGCCAAAGAAGAAAACTGATTTTTTTTTTTTTTTAACAAATTCTACAGTTGAATAAAAAGATTTTCATAAAGAAAATAAGGCAAATTTGGAAAAATATTTTTATTTTAGTCTACATTTTGTGTGCTTGTCAGCGACATATCACAATTTGTTTAGTGCACAGACTCACAAAGTAAAATATACACATTGATTCCTGAAAGATTTAACAGTAAAAAGAAAATCACAAATCCTGTATGCTGTCTTGATCTTATCTATACATTGACTAGGCACCATAACGCTAATCGATAACTCAATGGTAGAGAATGTAAAGATAGTAGAAATTGATGCTTTAGACAAAAGAAAATGTGTTATAGTCTTGTTAATGAGTTTATTGGTCAGAAATAAAAAATATTAAGAAAAAAAAAGTTTATTAAAAGCAAACTGTGTTAGACACTTTTCCTGTAACTGTTCTAGACATGGAATGAGGACGTAGTTTGACCACTGAATAAAATGTTAAAATATTTCATTCTATGTGTTGGTCGAGATGCAAGGCTCAGGAAGACATGTATCTAAGAGCATGTGGATGTAAGTAGAGACATACTATAGTATATATTGTACACTGTATCTGGAGATGATTGACAGACTTTTTTTTGAGTAAAGTCTAAACTGTAAATTAAGGTGCCACTGATTATGCCAAGCGATATGTGTATTTATATGGTACAGTAGTTACGATGGGAGGACATATATTATTGAGTGGAACATTTCACCTAATCTAATGGTGCCCACCTGCTCAATTATAGGAAACTAAACATTTCAATTACTGGCACAAATTGGGTTATGAAGTCATTGGAAGGAGCCCACAACTTTCTCCTGGTGTTTGTTAATGGAACGGTGCTATTGTATTTAAGCCTTAATATTGCAGGATCCTTACATGTTTGTTTCAATGTATATTTGTATTTTTAGGGACCCTTAAAGGACCACTATAGGCACCCAGACCACTTCAGCTTAATGAAGTGGTCTGGGTGCCAGGTCCAGCTTGGGTTAACCCTTTTTTTTTATAAACATAGCAGTTTCAGAGAAACTGCTATGTTTATAAATAGGTTAATGCAGCCTCTAAAGCCTCTAGTGGCTGTCTCATTGACAGCCGCTAGAGGCGTTTGCGTGCTTCTCACTGTGAAAATCACAGTGAGAAGACGCAAGCGTCCATAGGAAAGCATTGTAAATGCTTTCCAATGAGACTGGCTGCATGCGCGTGCAGCTCCTGCCGCGCATGCGCATTCAGCCGAAGAGAGGAGGCGGAGAGCTCCCCGCCCAGCGCTGGAGAAAGAGGTAAGTTTAACCCCTTCCTCTCCCCAGAGCCCGGCGGGAGGGGGTCCCTGAGGGTGGGGGCACCCTCAGGGCACTATAATGCCAGGAAAACAAGTGTGTTTTCCTGGCACTGTAGTGGTCCTTTAACATTTTAGCACCCATTTTTAGAGTGTAAGGGGGATATAGCAGGGGCCAGTTACATTGCATCTTGCTTCCTATTTTAAACCATTCACCAACCATCAATTATGTTAAAGAATAGGATGTAATTCTGCTGCCTTCCCTCTATGGGTTATTAGGGGTTCCTCGAGACCCCTGACACTTTTATAGAGTTTTATTAAAATCTGCCAACAGCTTTTGTAAGTACTTTTAGAGCTAATGTTTAGCTATTCAGAGACAGTTGTTGAACTGTTTGGGAAGACACCCAAGCTTTTCAGGCCAAATTCAGGAATAATTTAGGCCAGTTTGGGGGTAATTTGTTTTGACTGAGTTTTGGTGCAATTCAGTTTGGGAAAGAATGTGTTTTGGTAACGTTTGCAAGCTCCCTTTATATAGTAACTACATAACTGTTATATTTAATTTGATCTGTCTGTCTGTCTGTCTATCTATCTGTCTATCTAGTGATTTAGAGCATGTGGAAATGTGGTAATTTTAAAACAACTAAGCTCTTAAAAGGCTTGTAAAGCTGAAAACAATGTATCTTTTTTTTTTGCAGAATATTTAAGACCGCAGCCACAATTTTGATGCTCACAGCAAAGAATCTTCATTGAGAGTGAAATCTGTCTAAAAACACGGAATACAAAGACAAATCAATGTAATGAATTTCTAATAACTATGGGGCAGGCAATCTTTGACACCCCATGATGTTTTGGACTACATCTCCCATAAAGATCTTATAATCATAATGCTGGCAAAGCATTTAGGGAGATGTAGTCCACAATACAAGGAGTGCCGAAAGTTGGCTACTATTGAACTACGGCATAAGCCTGCAAAACGAGACAGGGAGAAAGTTCTTATGTACTAGCAGCTGAAGTTTATATTTTCTTATGTAGCTAGTAGGGAAATAATTTGTTGCAGCCTGCATGAATCAATCCAGCTGCATGTCAGTTGTAAATATAAAGGCCTCATAAGGATATTTTACATGTTACAGTGAATGTAAGAATTGCCGATCTATACTCAAATGAATACAGCCAGTACAATAAACCCACATAAAAATAGCATATCATCGAAATTACCTGCTCTCTCCTCCACCCCCTGCGCCATGGAATGCAGTAAAACGGACTTACGGTCCTCAGCAAATGGTTCTCCTCTTCTCTGTAGGCAGAAAGTTAACATATGATTACTGAGGTCCATTGAACCCCCCTCTCTCAATACCCTGCAGAGTCATGCCCAGTTCCGTGCCAGCTAAAAATGAAAAATTCTCAAATAGTTTACAATTCTACTGAAAGCCCATTCCCCACCTAATAATCTTCCGACTTGCGCAATTAACCATGCTAGCTAGCCTTATATTTGTATGTACTTTATAATCCTAGCAGCACTGTGCAAGTTAAAAGAGGTAACACAATATAGCCGTTGTGTTGCTCAGAAACCTGAAGAGTTATTGACAACAAACAAAAAGTATTGCTTTTATTTCTAAACTTCTGCTTCATTCCACTAGACAAGGTCACTGGTTTCTTTGTAAAGATTGTGTATAAATCACAAAGGAAATGCACGCATAACAGCAGTTCTGTTTGGATTGCAAAACAAAAACAGCAATTTGCAGGTGGTAAACAAAATCTCGGTGCCTATCTCAAATCATATCTCACAGCATAAGAGTAATGACGTTCTATTAGTCTTTAGAATTAAAATCTGAAAAGTAGGACAAATCACTATATGACAATTTTTTCCCACGCTGTATATGTCCATGTATTTTAACTTTTTTTTTCAATCTTCAGTACATTCAGGCTGAGGGGTAAATATATTATATTGCTTTGCCCTTTATGATGGTTGTCACACACAGTATATCATCACCAGTGTCTAATGTCATGTTTAAAAGTCCACTGATAATGATAGCTACTGGATACTTGAAAAGAGAAGTGATAGATCCACAGAGGCCAGTGGCATACTTAGTTTATATGACACCTGGGTAAAAGTATGTGTTGCCACTCTCTCCTAATTATAAACATTTATGTACATTGCTCCACCTTAATCTCCCTTACCCCTTGTGTGTCTCTTAGCTTCTTACTTACCTCTTGTGTGTCTTTGCATGACCCCTATTCTCAGAGAAGGATTACGATCACACAGTGCCCTAAGCAGGTGCTTGTTTTGAGTCCAATTCATTCGTCACATATAGGTGGTGAATGGGAAGAAGGAAATTCATGATTCCAGGGCCAATATCTAACAACTGGGCCCTAAGCAGCCACCAAAGGTCAACTTTTGGCCAGAGCAAGATTAACTATAAGGTGACATTAGGCGGCCATCTAGGGCCCAGGGGTAAGACAGAGGCCTTGGAGCCATGAATTTGCTTGGCCCCATTCACCATGCCTATGTTAGTAATGCAGGGGTGCACCAAACTGGCAACCTGCCTGCTGGGCCATGGGGTCTTAATCCCTCTCTGCTTATGGTAATCTTGCTCTGCGTTACCACTTGTACTTATCTTACCCCAAATTTATCATGTCACAGTATGGGGAAGGGTATGCTCTGTGCACCCTGGCATGCCTGTCACCTGGTGCAGAATGCCCTCTCTCTCCTTAATTTAATTAGTTAAGTTGAGGCTAATGCTGAGTTGAGAAATTTCTGCACATTATGTGTTTTATGACTAAATTTGGAGCAATTAAATAAATAAATGCAGGAGGTGGGCCGCATCAATATATCCCCACCCCTCCCCATACTTCCATCCCCAACATTTAATTTAATGTCATGTTATTTTATATGCTCCATCTCCATAGGAAGTATTTTATATGCTCCATCTCCATAGGAAGTATTTAGGAGATAACTATTTTTTAATGTAGTGTCTGGATAGAAAGCGCAGGCCAGCCCCTACCTACTTAACCCTTGAGACACTAAGGTTTTTTTAACAGGCAAATAGTTTGAAGTTTTAAAATCTGGGCCCAGATCTAAAGCATCTGTGGCTGTGTTTTAACAGCTCGGGTCTGGGTATTAGCTGTCCACCAGTGTTTGGTCTGAATGAAATCTGGCCTAAATTCAACAATTAATAAATCAATTAAATAAATAAATCATTTTTATAATTTTTATCTAAACTGCAGCTGTTCATTATATACTACCCTTAGCCTAACTCACATGTCTAAACTAACTTACTCTAAAATGCATGTTAGTAATAAAGAACTTTGTGAAAGTATTGTAAAAGCATTGTTCATATTTGTTATGTTAGTGTAGGTCCAAACAATCACTTCAAATCACCTGTTCTTTTTTGGGGGGATACATTGATCAGCTTCACTTCAAAGGAAAAAGCAAAGTTTTGTAGTTCCCCTCCATTACGTATTGGCGTTTGTTTTTTATCAGGACATATCTCTCAGAAGTAGCTCTGAGAGCAGCCTTTGTTGATTAGAAAACAACATTTTCTGTTTTTTAAGAGACATGAAGGATGGTTCCAGTCCCAGATTATAAGTGGCATGAAGAATTATAAAGAACTGTGAATTCTCAGAATTTCTAATATTATGTTTATTGATCCCTTCTATAATAAACAAAGATGTGTTCGTTAGGTGTAAAAAATGAATGTAGAAATCCACATCTCTTTATTCTGTAATTTGGTGCCTCAATCTTGGCTCCCTGAAAATCATTGCTATGACGCCGCTGCCCTGGCAAATACCTTGTTTGCCTTGACTTATGAGGGACCCAAGAGTTGGCTGGCTGGCCACCCTTTAGCCCCGCTAGGGTGCCTGGACAGTTTATTTTAGACACGGGCGGTGAGGGAGCGCTGATCTGAGCGACCCGATGTGATACCGGGAGGTGGAATGTGACATCACTCTGGCTCTTGACATCACTAAGCGGCCCACGAGGAAGCTAAACAGGAGGATTCCTCTTTAATGGTTTCATTGAGAACATATGTATCGTCATTGGAAACCACATGTACTAATATATTGAAAGAAAAAAAAACATGTTAACAAGTAATTACTACGTTTCTGCATTTAGCTTTGTTAAAACATTTAATAAAAAAATTAGTTGTTGGTAAATTAATGCAATACTTGAGCAGTTACAGTATGTGCACTATATTTCGCTCTGAATCTGGTTAGTATATGTCTCCCCTAATTTTGGTTACGACATTTGTAGGTAATGCACATGAAGGCAAATTTCCTATAAATATAAACCATAATATTATTTGAAAGAAGATATCTAATGCATACTGTAGCTATTGCTGCCGCCCAGGATTGGTGGGAGTTTGAGCACAGGGCTCAATTATGTGTGTTTGTATTATATAAATTGGACCTCCATCACCATTATCAGGGTGTGTTGGGTAAGCAAATTTTTTTTTATTTGTAGGGTTGGCTAGGAGCTTGAATTACTGAAATTTATTAAAGATTATTGAAATTATAGCATCCATTTGCAGCCTATTTATTATAATAATAGCTCCCACCCATTGTCAGCACCATGGTCAGTCACTAAGCCCCTCCAAATATTTATATAGTCATTGCCCAGCTGTTTTTAATTTAAGGAAGCACCCTTACAGGCCGGGCTGGGTAAAAGCACGGGCAATTGACAGTTATCTGTCTACTTCCCATTCTCCAATCTGAAATAGCCACCCAAAGCTATTGCGGCCAAGTTGATAGTTTCTTATTAAAGTCAGCAGTCAACCAGCTTGCTTTCTGTTTAGTGGACATGCCAATACCTGCAACATGATGGGTGGGTGCATGAAGTAGGTTTTAAACTTCATATTGATAGCCCTAGATATTTTTCTTTTAACTATTTACGTGCTGATGGCTACGAGTGGGCAAATAGTAAAAAAAAAAAAAAAAAGGATTTATCAACAGCTTTTAGCTGTCAAATCCAAAAAGCCAATTTAAAGGGAGTTTTACTCCTTTTCTGCTCCTGATAACCATTTAACTGCTAAAATTAAATAAAACCGTTAAATGGCTTATTGGGAGCAGAAAAACTAACTCATTTATTTTGGAGTACTAAGAAAGTTTAGATTTTTTATTATTTGCAAAAAAGTAACGGCACTCAAGTTCAATCCAGTGGGCAGGTTTATTGGAGCAAAATCGAAACAACGTTTCGGCCCACAACAGGGCATTTGTCAAGCATCACATGATGTAATGACATGCTTGACAAAGGCCCTGTTGTGTGCCGAAACGTGCTTTCGGTTTAAAAAAAATTAAAAAAAAATCTGCCCACTGCATTAAATTTGAGTGCCTGGACCATCATTACTTTTTTGCAAATCCCATTGTGAGGATTAGCCAACCTCAGGCCCGGTTTCACCCTGGGATCCATGAGCGTGCAGTATCCATATTGAAAATTATATTGATTTATTATTATGGCATTTATTTTCAGAAAATATTCATTACATTTTACTCTTAAAGATCCTTTAATACTTTTACTTAGGTTTAATACATACATTGCCCACACAGGGATTAACAGCAATTCAACATTTTACTAAACAGAAAGTAGGTTTATAGAAGAAAATTTGACACCTTTGTTAGAACACGTTGCTAGACACAAACTATATCTGTTTCAGAAGGTATTTTCTATTGACTATACAATAGACTACAGAGCAGAATAACTTCAGGCTATGCAATTTTTATGCAATATTTATCACTGTCAGCCAATTTCTAAATGTTTTATGCCAAGCCTATAATTGCATTGGAATTGTTTACAGGATACCATTAATATAGACTTA